CCCCAAAACCCCAAAACCCCAAAACCCCAAAACCCCTTTATACCCAAAGTGGGCTGAACTGCCTCCAAGGAATTATGAATCTGTAAACCCCTGTTTGGGGAAAAAGTTGCTGGATTTCCTCACCTTCTGGGGCGAGAAGGTCTTAATCTTAACTACATTCGCAATGGTCTTCCTCTTCTTTGGAGGTACTTTCACAGAGAAATTTTTATCAAGGTTAGGCGTCTTTTCATGAGAGAGCTTTTCTTTCTCTCGCTGCTGTCTTTCAGCTTCCTCTTGAAGCATGTACATTTCTTCCTTCTGCTTCAACTATTAAAGATGAGCCGAGGGTTGGTACCTTTGCATGACAGATCGCGAGCTCTTCCTGCTTTTGCAAGAAGAGCTTGCGGTATAAGGTCTTTCTTAAGAGATAGCCTCTGACCACCTTTTGGATCTTGGTTGCAGCTAAATGTTAATAAGATTCACTTACCGCTGTGCTTACGACTAATTCTCAATTTTGGAACAAGTCTTTGAAATTTAGAAGCCTTCCATTTGTTCTGAATCTTCAGTGCTGCCTCCTGACGAAGCTGAAGCAAGCGCTTGAACTTGAGCCTCTGTAGGAACGCTCTAGAGGATCACAGGTTCATATTACCTGACATTCTTCTGAATAATTCTTGCATTATGATGGAAAGATCTTTGAAGACATCTGTCTCGAATTCCTTTACTCACATGTACATATTTGTTAAGGAGCAACCTCTTGCCTTCTGAGGTGAGGGTACCTGACCCTCTCAGGTTTTTCCTCAAAGAGATTTGATTCTATAGGAGTTTAGGTCAAGAATAATATACCTTTATAGTTAGCTCTAAATTCTTAAACCGTCTTTTATCCTTCTGGGTAATCCGGACGTGATACTTATGCCTCAGATGGGAGATAGCTTGCTTCCTAGTCAATTCGATACTCCTGTTAATCCTATTGTGAGAAATAGCATTCCTTTGTCTCTCATGTCTCTTATAAAAATGCATGACTCTTGCTTGAGATGTTCTATAAATCACAATGGGGTTTACCTCACTGATTCAGGTGATCTTGAATGGTTCGGCTTGTGTTCAAAAGATCGAAGATTTTGGAGATTAAAACATGAATATTTATTACTAAAGTCATCTGCATTATTGTCCTTAATCCAAGTATTTTTACTCATACCCACAGAAAAGTCAAAACTTGACTGTCCAAGTGAGGTCTTATTCTCAGTCGATAGCTGACGTTGGCAGCAGTACCTCCTCATTTGCCGTTCGTTGCTGACCCTCTTGCTGCTTTTTCTAGTGACCTAAAAATGATAAACTACTGAAAATATTCAGAATTATCCGTGAAATCATCATAACAATTACCTTTCGAGGGAGACCCTGCTCAAGGTTCCAGTTCTTGACATGTATACTTGCCTCTGTCATACCATCATCTCTCTTAGTAAGTTTATAAAGTTTTCCCTTGCTATTTCATTCTATGCGAAGCAGAATTGGTAAACTTTGGCATCCTTGATTTGCCATTCACTTCATCTATGAAATAAAAATAATCCCGTACAGTTTATATAGCCTAGATCTCTCCTAGGGATGTGCCCAGACCCAGTCCCTTGCCTTCCTTGGCTCCTATAGAAGGGTTAAAAGCGTACTTTAAGAGTTTAAGCCTACTGGAAGTCTCTTGAGTTATCTATGAAAGCACTTGCTGATGACTTATTCATTTTTCAATTTCAATATTTTATGAAGCAGAAGGGGTTTTGGGGTTTTGGGGTTTTGGGGTTTTGGGGTTTTGGGG